TGTTTAACAGAAATGACGAGTGATTTTAAACCGCAGACGCGATTGTGCGATAAAGGTCCAATTGCGTATCGCATTACGTTCCAGGAAAAGAAATTTGCAGTGCTTGCGATATATCGCAAAATCGCACATCCCTCCGCAAACACTCGCGTACCTTGCAACGGACACACGTCGCGAACGAAGGCCACGAATGATACGTGCATTTTCTCGATGTGGACATTCTTCCCGCCTGTGAAAGGAAGTTTTTGCCATTCCGCGTGCACTGTTACACGCTGACAGATTGTTAACGTCAAGCGGTGCGCGGCTCTGATTTATAGCGAGTGATGTAATTAGTGGCGCGTTCAGCCTGACGATACGCAGGAATTTCGCGGAGGCTGAGATGATTGACTCGAAGCCACGGCAATTTCCTGTGTACGGTTACTAATAAAGATCGCCCAGAGGAGAGTCGTGATCGCCGTTACTGCATTATCGCACTCGCCGTTATATTTGCTGGATGATTTCTCTTCCTTCGTCTCTCTCCCGTTGGGTCGGCATTAATTAAACCGGATTGCAGCGCTAATATCGGAATTCCTAGCGGCGTGACAAGTTAGCTAATATTGCAGTTAATATGCATCACGCATCGGGTTATCATCGGGTTGTGTAGTAAATAATCTCGGATTACTTATTACGGATTTCATTTTCCTGGTGAAATGAAAGGATATTTTTGTTGCCATAATTTTATGAAATAGCATATGCGCGAGGTGACGGAAGATCAAAATAGCTTATATGTTGTTTCATAAAATAACAACGACATGGAAAATGCGATCGCCCCACTTGATCCAAAAAATCCAGAATCAGTTATTATATAACGTAATAAATATTGATGCTTCGACAACGGCAGTCATCTGACATCCGTCAAACTTTGATATTCGGACTCCAAAAGCAACTTGTGGAAAATTCTGACTTGATTGAAACTGTCACACGACATCTCAACAGTTTCCGCAAATCACGTTAACAAGTGACAATTGCGAAACATACGAGCAGATATTTTGTGCAATTATTTGATGGAAATGTCACTGCTGCGTAGAGTCGAAATCGAAACGGCTTGAACAACTCTTTACTAGTGTTAAGTTAATAACCCATCTGGTTGTCACATTCGGGAATTACTGCTCACGGACTTGCGCGCTAATCGGTTATGATAGCAACTGAAATTATAGTACGTGACGTGAAAGTAAATTTCATCAAGGCAACGTGAAAACATGTTAATACATCCGAGAGTGTTCCATATTAAATCGTTGTCGTAGTGGCTCGAAGAATCGATGAATCTTGTACCTCAAACATAAGAGATAAGAAAGTAATAAGATAAATGTCCTAATAACTGAATTAATAAGACAGCACGATCAATTTTATATTTTCATTAATAAGTAATTAGTGGAATTACAAAGAAAATTAACGTTTATATGGAATCTTGGTTTGGCGATCGAGAAATAATAAGAAATAAAATAATTAATAAATATCAGTTGTAATTTTGATGAGATATATTAGATAATACCAGTTATATCAGTAATAATTAATAAATATCATTTATAATTTTAATGAGATACATTAGATACCAGTTATACCAATAATTGAACTGAAAAATGAATTATGCCGTAATTACTGAACAATATAGACTTAGTGATTTTTTTAATTATAAGTTATAAATTATAAATTAATTTAATTATAATTATAAATTATAAGTTAATGTGATTTCATTAAATTATAAGTTGGCACAAAGAAATATCTTTTAAAACAAAATTTCAGACTTTTTCAGAAATATTAAATTCAAATATATTTTTAAAGTTTTAACCATTGGGGAACAAGGTTCAATTATTTACCTTAATAATATTTACTTTTTAAGATAAAGTAATAAGAGAGAGAGAGAGAGATCTCTTGCATTACACTTTCATATTTATATATTTTCTGTTTTTTTAGTAAAAGTTATGCCATCGGGTGTCTCTTATATTTAAAGCACAAGATTCTTCTCATAAACAATAAAATTAATTTTTGTCATATTTATGAGGAAATTTTATTAAAATATATTTATTTTACTCTCCCACCCCCTCATTTCAGGGTCTTTATCACAACCGATTACCAAGTGAGCAGTGATACGACAACCAGAAATGGGTCACTAATTTTACTGCAAAAAAATGTTAAAACCATGTCGCTCTCTACTGTCCCGGCAATCTTGGGCATTTTGAAATCGAAACAGAATCAACTCTAGATTTTCTAAGAAATTTGTCTTTAGAATTCGGCTCACTTGGCTCGGCAGATATTGCGTGTCTATAGCTACAATCCAGACGGAGAAAGAGAATCCGCTTGGCGCTAACGGGAATCGATCTAATACAAGATGTATGAACAGGGAGGATTAAAGGACACGTGTATGAGCTGTCATACACATGTCTATTTGGCCTATTATATCCCCGGTGGAGCGAGTAACTCGCGCGGCAATTTTATCACGGTGTTTGACGACGGAATAAAATTGTCACGGGGTTTATTGCTGTTATTGTAACGTCTCGCTATCGTCGCGACTACGATGACAGCCGTAAGGTAAACAGTCGATCGACGGGACGGACAATAGCTCTCCGTCGTGGCGTGAGTAACGGATTACACACCGAGCGCGAGAGAGGCCAGCTTTCACCGAATTATTCCACCAGCCTGATAACGAGCTTGCGCTAACTGCCATTATATTATTTTACGGAACTAATTTCACGCAGAACTTAATTAATTCGGCTTAATTAATTCGACTGTAATTCCCCTTTGATTCATTAGAGCGGACTAAAGTGCTCCCTCTCGAAATGCGACGTTAAAAATGATTCCCAGCGTATTCGAATGGAATTCTTATTGCTCCGTAACGTGTTTTCAAAGCCGGTCCGGCGTATTTATTCGTATTGTGCGCCGCGTTAATTCGCGCGGCCGTGCTTTGTGTGGCTCGAGGTTTGCCTCGAGGGGTAAAATTAATGAACTCGCGGTTTTGCCTTCTTATACCGGGCTATACAAGCTTACCTTTCTCGACTCGAGCTACCGTAGCGCGCACAATGGCCAAACACCATCCTAGAAGAGCTCAGGTGGTGCTCGTGCCGCGTAATACGAAACTGTAATCAGACTAATGGCGCTGTGTTATCTTTCTCTTTGTGAAATCGACCGTGTGACCATTGAAAAGAAAGAGGAGACATCGCCGACATCGAGTCGTTTCGGTTTTCACTCTCGTGCTCGCCGAGGGGATTCATCGAGGGTAATTTTTGGAAGCCCGAATAGTGCTCGGATAATCGCGATGATTCCGCGACGCGAGAAGGGGAAGTAATCAAGATTATCCTTGGACTCATTATGGATCGCTCTTTAAAGCTGCAAACAATTTCAGAAGTCGCTTAAGTCGAAGTTATTCGCTGTATATGATAAAGACATATTTTTACTCGGAGCAAAAAGAATTCCTAATTGCAAGGAATTCGAGTAATTAAAGATTGAGAGCGGCGCGCACGTTTGTCATTTTTATATCCTTTAATAAAGGAGAGCAGAGAAGCGGGGATTAATGTTTCCCTATACCCCCGCGGCCGACGATCTATCGGAGGATTAAAGAGGTTTTACGTTCGGTTACTTTGTACCAGACGGGCCGATCCGCTCAAATCCGCATCATCCCTGCCGCGCGGCGAATTTTAAGACGCGAGAGCATTATGCACGCAGAGCAACTCACTCGTGACTCAGTGGAAGGGAATAAGCGAAGCGCAGGTACGTAAGCCATAAACGCAAACGCGACTGTGTAATTAACGCGGCTTGTCCGAGCGCGCTCACGCGAGCTCATTATCCCGGCTTGGGTAAGCAGTAAATTTTATTGATCAACAAAGGATCGTCGCGAATCACGGCTGGTCCGCCTCCACGTAGCATTCCTGCTCCAGAACAAACACGGCGAGACGGCAAACATCACCTAATCCCATCTGAACAGCATCACGAAGACAGTGTGATTAATGGAGCGACTAAGCCACTACTCGCAAATGTACTTGCAATGTCAACATACTGCGAAAATTAGAATCCGTTTGCGCGTAAATGCAGACGCGAGAACGGGGATTCTCCCAGCGAGAAGAGATCTGTTTTACGTTTGAGCGCAGAACAGTCGCGAAATCCAAAGCTCGTCTCGTTCTCATCACACACAGAAAAAATACGCATCGCATTCAAGTTGTTGAATGTTACTTATTTCAAGTGTCTCATAAATTTAAGTCTGCAAATCTGTCACGAGTTTATCATAAACCCATCAAATTTATGCAAAGTATTTTCTGAATCCTAGTAAGTTTAATCTAAACTTCACTCAGGAATATTAGATTGAAACAAAAATTCGGCTTGCTTACTGACATAAAGTTAAGCCAACATTTTATTCGATAAAGTACAATATTCAAAGAGAATAAATTCTTTGAGTCCGTGATAAAGAATTTTTTCTAAGAATTCTGGTGACTAAATAATGGTTCCTTCCTTTAAATAATGGTTATTTTCAACAAAGAATATTTTCTTGATAATAGTTTTCTTGATAATTTCTAGAGATATCATATCGACTATATTAGACTTCTTACCTCGAATTTTTGACGAAATTGAGATACTCATTTCGTCTGATTTGGCTCGAAATTCTGCATTATTTAAAAAATCTGTAAAATTGGAATTGAAATTTTTTAATTAGGAGTTTTTTTAATTTAACTGACACGATATTTTCAGACTATTATCGAGAAAATATTATTTGTTGAGGATAACCGAGGATTACTTAAAGAAAGGAAAGTAAACCGAGCAATTGCTTTTTTCAGCGGTAGAATGATACTTTCTTATCATGTGGGAACTCAAAAGATCACATACGGTGAATTTTACATCCTGGAAACGCAAAATACATCTTTTGCCATGCAAAATACATCTTTTGAAATTGCAGCGCTTCTCGTGTTTTACCAGAATGTCACTTCAGCTTGTCGAGAAAACTCGCTACATGCAGCTGCGTTATTGATCTGTTTCAGGCGCTCCTATCGCCAAAGATGCTAGATCTTCGAATCAGTTATCGCGGAGAAGCCTACTCGAGACTTTAGAGGACTCGACAGAAATCGGGTAAGTTCTCGCAACTTAAATATCGGCGTTCCGCGCTCGGGTAAAGTGTAATTTATCCGCGCCGCCGGCTGATCGGCTAAATTTTCCGATTAAAAAGTTTCGCGCGGGCAAAATTTTCTCCGCGCAACATCGACACGTTGCGATTGAATTCTTCGCGAGAAGGATGCACGCGCGAACGTTTCCTACGCGTCGTTCTAACTTCTCTGTTTTATGTTAAAGTCTAAAACGACATGGAGAACATCCGGGTTTCGCTTCTAACGGATTGCACAACACTGTGTAATCGTTTCATCGTCTTTTTCATGTCGCGCGCTCGATTCGAAAACTCGAATTCGCTGAAGTCTCCCTTGTCCTTCCTCGCAAATTAATCGCGCGTTAATCGCACTCCACAGCATTCACACGCGCAGCGTCCAATTGAACTTTTAAGCTGTACCGCACGTAATCGCGGACTTTTTTTCGTCGTCGAGTCGCGTTTCGTGGCGGCGGCGCGCAAAGTTTCAGCCGGCTGCGCGCGGATTTTACGCTCCCACGACGATCCCGCGGACTTACCGGAAGATTCTGAAAATCTGCTAGCGACTTCCGAGCGTAATCCTTCAAGCGTAAAAGCTAATTTCGAACGGCTTCTATCACTTTGATAATACCGTAGAAAAGTTCGGGAGCTAATATCTCACGGGATATTTAAATTGGAGAACGTTCGTGGAGAGTTTCTCTCCCCCGAACTATTCGTATTAAGCCGATAGTACATACTTCAAGTATTGTAACTGCAATGGAATTTTCTGATAATGAAGGGGGGGGGTGGAAGGGTGGGGAGTTGGAGAAAATCACCTTCCGTCGTCTCGGGAACTTACTCACTGAAGTCTCAATCAACCGCGAATTGCAGGCCAATGTATGATGAATGCTAATTGAAGTTCCTTTCAACGGGGAATTTCTCCCGAACTTAAATTGCCGGGCGCTATTTTGAGAAAATCTCATCGATCGTTTCATTGAGACGCATCCTCGCGATTTCTCGTCTATCAAAAAGGTCGTCCATGAAGCCCGGCTCTTCAGACACTTCCTTTGACGCTGGCGCGCAAACGTAGATTCGTCTAGATGCTAATTAATATTTCCACTTGCCGTATAAGAGCGACTCTACACGCCGGAGTGAAAAGCACGAAAATCCCTGTGTCGGGCTTTGCGAGCCTCCATACGAAGAGCGACGCTGATGCTTTATTGCGTATTAGCATCATTATGATTCTTTTGAGGAATATAAATGTCGCATATTACCAAGACAATTGAAAGAGACAATTTCTTTACCGCGAGGAAACAACAAGCCGAGCAGAAAATTGGTCAGTTTCAGCAACACTTGCTTTGCTACACTGAGAAAAAATAACTAACAATTAAAAAATATGTATTAAGTGTGAGTACTATTAACATATTTATTTAAATCGAAATTCTTTTCATTTAAACTCATTATTGTTTACTTAAATTGAATAAGCAATACTTAGTTTAAATAAAAATAATTTCGATTTAAATAAATATGTTAATGATATTTATGATATTCTAAATATTTTTACGTACCTAATAAATATTTGTTAATTTTTAGATATTTTTTCTCAATGCAATAACTGTACAGTAAAACTAGTTAATTTCTGATCAGTTTCTGACCTAATTTCTAACCATTTTTTTTTTTGCAAAGTTATTCTCAAATAGTTTTTATCTCATTCGATCCTACATTGTAAAATATATTTTATTTTTAGACAATATAAAAATAATGTAAAAAAGTCGTGTTTCAAAAGGTAGAGTTTTTTTACATGAGCTGAAAAAAAATGTTTGGTTTCTGCAATCATAAACACATAGAGAAATAATTACTGCAAATTATGATTAAGAAATCAAGAATGGTTTTTTTATTAAATTCTACTATAATGTTAATGATAATCACTACATGTGCATGTTATTACTACCATTTTCGTGCTAGAGAAATAAAAAAATATAGTTGGGGCCAAAAGTAACTATAATTTTAGTTAGATCAACTATTTCTTTCTCTCAGTGTGAAAATTTATTCATTATTGAGACTGTCATAGTCTCATTTTTACTTGCCTTTTAATTATTACTAAGTTTCTGACCAATAATTGGCCAAGGAACACTAGTCATTATTCTCTTGGCTGGTTTCTCAACAATTACTGCCTAATGAATCCCAGCTGGCAAAAACTGGCCAGTTTCTGGCTGATGACCAGTTTCTCCCGGAAGTATTTCCACTCGGGAAAGCACGTGTCGCCAAGATCGTTTCTTTCTCATTCGCGCGGCGACTCCCGCCGTCTCGCGCGCGCGTTTCCGATTCAGAAGTGATCCGGTTAAGGGGTCAAATGAAATGATACCCTGGCGTCCGTAACCGTTTCATTTAATGGCCGCTATCATCGGGGGATCCCGCGAGCGCGCTGATATCGAATATGCTCGCGCGGAACGCAGAAGGAAAGGTTCGCATTGTAGGAGGATTCCGTGGCTGGCTGTTCACGGGGGGACCATAAATTCTCAGATCGTGAAACAGGAAGGCGAGTACACGCCTCGCGGCTCCCTGATACGGTCACGCACGTGCCTCTTCGCACGCACGCACCGGGCGCGCGCGCGCCAACGCCTCCCTTCTTGAAATTTTATCGCGGAACGAATCCAGCGAAAACGATCATAAAACTTTGCACTTTACAACCCCTAGGCTTAGGAGAGAAGCCCAGCGCGCGCGAGGGGCTCGGAGAAGCCGCCCGGCTCGTAACCGAACAGGCGGAACCTAGGTGTGCGCGCGCGAACACAGCCGGCGCTCTCTCCTCTAGCGCGCGAGTCGCTAAAGCTGGAAACTGGCGCTCGTTTATATTTTAATTACTCTGACCTCGCCACGACCCGGCGAAACAAACTGCGCCCCGTTTCACAAAAGTACCGCGGTCGATGTAGCAATGAAAAACAGCGGGTGATAAAGTACACACGCGACTTCCCTCGATTAGCCGATTCGAGGGTTGCGGTTGGAAATGTAAAATTACCGTCAGATTCAAAGTGACGATTACTTACGGCAAAATTACGGTAATGTATGTGTTGGTAATTTTGGTGAAGTTCGTTGTTTTTGATCATTTTCATGCACAAATATTCATATTTTTCGCACCAACGCATAAGATGAAGCGCATAATAAAAAAACCATTCTTGATTTCTTAATCATAATTTGCAGTAATTATTTTTCTGTGTTTATGATTGCAAAAACCAAACATTTTTTTCTCAGCACAAAAAACTCTACCTTTTGAAACACGACTTTTTTACATTATTTTTATATTGTCTAAAAATAAAATATATTTTACAATGTAAGATCGAATGAGATAAAAACTATTTGAGAGAAACTTTGCAAAAAAGACTGGTTAGAAATTAAGTCAGAAACTGGTCAGAAATTAACTAGTTTTACTGTACAGTTATTGCATTGAGAAAAAATATCTAAAAATTAACAAATATTTATTAGGTAAGTAAAAATATTACAATACAATATTCTTCTTAAAAAAGGAAACTATTTACAATCCTTTGAGAATATTAAAGCTTTCATTTTTTAAAATGTGCCACTGAAAATTTTCAGTTATATACCACTGTCTAATCGCTGAAACAGCAAAGCAATAAATGAAAATACTATAAAATGGTATGAAAAATATTGGGACAATAGATTGGGACTGTTTTCGAGATATATATTCGAGATAAAAATAGATTAAGACTTTATCAATTTGTTTCTCTAGTTACTATGTACCTAGTTTCCTAATTACTATATGCTATATATAGTGTATCAATATATACAGTATCAAAATATTTTATATATGGAAAATGTGAGTTAAATAACTATCATACTCATTTGAAAGGCTAAATGCTTTTTTTGAACTTTATACTAAAATTTTTTTATTTCTGTAATTTTTTCTAAATTTCTATTTTACCGGCTTTCTGAAATTACCGAGTAATTTACCATAATTTTCCGAATAAGTTACCGTCAGGTTGAGTTATTTTCACATCTAGTTGCGATAAACTAGAATTTTTCATTAAGTTTCTCAAGCGGATAGATAATGAGTAACTGTTCACGTTTGTTTGAACAATTTGACAGGATTGTTCCTGGGAAATGAGTGTATAAACTTTGCATACAAAAGAACGAAGAAGACTTTTTCTCAACACCCACAAATGTGTTGTCCGCGAAAGGCTCCGGATGATGCTGCAGCGAACTCGCGCGATAGATTGATAACACGTGAAACGAATTATCTTCTGAGCCGCGCTTTAACCAGAAATCTCGTTAATATTTAAGAGATCCGTCAGAGTGTGTATATGCACGTGTCAGATCCTTTTCAATATTTAAAAAGCTGGGACAATCCCGCGCGCACAGCAACCTAATATTTTAGCATAACCGTATCCGCACGAGTTTTCCTGCTGCCGTTGCGACGTGACTGTGAAATGCCATGGGGGGAAAGAGGTGAAAGAAGCGCGAATGAGAAGGAGCCGTGCGCTCTGCAGAAAAGCAGCGGGGAAAGATACAACGGTAGAAAAGAACCTCCCAGGAGGCTCAATGGCGCACGAGAGATAAACCGTTGGAACGCATCGAGACTGCTGTGTAGCCGGACAAAATGGAAATGACTCGGGAGTCGCTCGTGAGATAAAACGCTACCCGGTCCGCCGGGTGATTATCGGGTAAAGGGCGATAATTGAAATAGACGCGAGGAATTGGTGGACCGAACCGAGAAATCACGGAATCGCCATCGGAGCGCTCGACTACAATCACACGGAATTGGTGATGGCAATGACAACCTTGTCCCGCAGTGAATGAGAGAATACCGAACTAATTATTCTCCGCGCGCTGCGAATCTTGATTCTAAAACCATCCATTTTTTGGATAAAGTTCCGAAAAGTATTCATCCCTATTTTTTTTAAACTCAGTATTCCTACGTATATTAACGCGCTGATTACGAATATTATAGTGAAAATTGGCGACTACTTGATTTTCATGGTGAAAACCATGAAAAACCCATAAAAATTACGTTTTTTTTACGTTTGTCTTAGTAAATACAGAAAATCATGATAAATGTTTTAAACAAAAGTTTTAGATCTCACTGAGATAAACATTTTAGGTCCTATACATTTTCACCGAATGACAGTTTTCGAGGAAATCGAGTATAAAGACCGTAACAGCGTTGTTACGGTCTTTATACTCGATTTCTGCGGATCCCTTCTGCGGGTTATTTCGCCACGTAGACAGTATATTTCCCCCGAATCGTGGCGAAAAGAAATAAAGGAAAGAGGACTTACAGTTATGAAAGAACTCTAACAACTTTTTTTAAGAATATTTTTAACATTTTTAACATTTGCAACACGGGAAAAATATCGAACGACTAGCGGGGGGCTGTGCCCCCCGCACCCCCTAAAAATTAATCTAACCCTACCTATTGTCATTAGCTGTCGGTCATTATTTATTAAAAAGTTATTAAGAAAAAAAAGTTAAACACTTCTTAACCGCAACGACGATAAATGTTAATGCTGTTACTGTCTTTATACTCCATTTCCTCGAAAACTATTGTTCGTACGGTGAAAATATATAGATTCTAAAATGTTTATCTCTGTGAGATCTAAAGCTTTTGTCTAAAACATTTATCATGATTTTTCGTATTTACTGAGATAAACGTAAAAAGATATAATTTTTATGGTTTTTTCATGGTTTTTACCATGAAAATCAAGTAGGCGCCAATTTTCACTATGATATTCGTAATTAGCGCGTCAAAATACGTAAGAATACTGAGTTTCAAAAAAATCGGGGGTGAGTACTTTTCGGAATTACACCCCATTTTTTTTTGTCGCCACTGTACACAGAGAAAAAAATCATTCTGCTACTAAGAAAAGCGATTACTTAGTTTACAATCAGTTTACAATCATTCTCCGAAATAAAGGTTATCTTTAGCGAAGAATGTATTTTTGATAATAATTTTCAAATCAATACGCGTCGTGAATTTTACGGAAATTATCATATATTTAAAAGAAGAATTTTTATTCTTTTTACAAGAATATCATAAAACTTTATGCAAGAAAAAATTGGCTCGTTTCTATGCAGTAAATAAATTGAATTTTTGTTTTAATTGAATATTTAATTGAAATGATGTACTTGCTTGCTAAAATTTAAAATATACCTTGAATAAATATGATGTTCGTAACAAACTTATGATAGATTTGCGGATATATAAAGTTATAAAATATTTGAAACAAGTAATATTTACTCGAACGCAGTATGCATTTTTCTATGTGTATACACGGAGAGAATTTTGTAGTAAAGATTGCTGTATAGAATATTGTAAATGAAAAACCGATCGACATTCTGCAGTGATTTATTATCTTTTCATTTCATACGTGTTATTTATATTTTAGAAACTGAAATATGTTGTTAACACGTCCGCCACCAATGTCACACATGTGTGACGCGACAATCTCTCACCAGAGACTGGCGTTATATACTATATGTATGACAGCAAAATTGTTTTTTCCTATGTCGGTGTTACCAAACTAACTCTACTTCACCCAGTTACGTTAAAATAAAAAATACAAGCTGGATTGTGGGCAGAGTCCTCCAGATAAATCATGGTACCAAACGTGCTAAAAAATTCACTATGCACTGAAAAATAGATTTTGTTGTCGAAATGTAAGTTTAGATCATAATTTTAAAATGAGATCAACCAAGTGTTTAATAATAACAAATTTAATTACTGTGTAATTACTTTATTACTATGTAATTACATAAAATTTTATTACTGTGTAATTACACACTAATTAAATTTGTTGTTGGCAATTATCAAACACTTGGTTGATCCCATTTTAAAATTATGATCCAAACTTTCGACAACAAAATCTTTTTTTCAATGCATAGCGAATTTTTTAGCACGTTTGCTACCATGGTTTATCTAGGAGATTCTCCTCACAGTCCACCTTGTATTTTTTATTTTAACATAAAGTATTTTAACTGAGTAAAGTAGACTTAGTTTGGTAATTTAATTATTGTGTGTTTTGCTTTTCTCAATAATACATACGCTTAATACAAGTTAAAAAACATATAATATCAACCAGATCATATCTAGTTCTAAGTATTTTTCTAGTTCCAAATACAAAAATAATTTTTTCACTGCGTTCTTAGCAAAATTTACTATGTATCTTAGCAAAACAAAGCTCACTGACAGTCTATATCTCTGCACTACTGAAAACATACAAAAATTTAAAACAATTTTCATGAAGAAATGAACTATAATATTCTCTTCGTGTATGGTTTAGATTGCACGAACTTTTTTCCGAAGTCACGCTGAAGCTGGCTGGACTTTGAAAATGCAAATCGAATTCGCAGAGAATTCTTCCTTCTTTATTCGACGCCGAGTGGAATTTCTTCAACAAAATTCTTATTTGAAGCTCGGTGGTATGTTGCGAATTTTTCAAGAAATCGCTAAGTATCTAGATCTTCGCTAAGAATAGACTCGATGTTGTTTGAAAAAGAATAACAAACACTCCGCAAATAAACACACACACACACACACACACACACACACACACACACAGACCCACGACTAATCGTTTCCTCTCCCTTTTTGCAGGACAAAATGTCGATGACTGGGAGCTTAATGGGATACGAGAACAACAACGATGTGAACCAGGCCAAGTGTAAGAAACCGTTGAAGCCGCTGCCGGTCGTGTCGAGCATCAACTCGAGCGGCGTAACCACCACGAGCAAGTTGAAGAAAGCGCGAAAATCGACGAGAAAAGAGTCGTGTATAAGCGGTCATGTGAACAGCCTCTGGTCCGTCTGGTACGGCATTCTAGCTGTCGCTTTTCAAGCGTACATAGCAATGAGATACGCCAGACGATTCGCCGGTAAGATAGCGCTTTTCTTCCGGTTTTATCCCGGTAAAATACGCCTCCCTGCGGGATCGATTACCCTAGCAGTCTCCCGAAGAATCCCTCTATTTATTCGCCCGAAAGGCCCTTATCGACCTATTAATTTCATCTACGAGCGATATATCCAGTCGTCGTCGGAACTAAATCAAGTGCGACCTGTGATCTCGTTTCTTGCGAATATGTTTCATGGGAAATGTTTCCCGATAATGCTCCTCGCGACCTCGATTTTTGCCGATACGGAAAGTCCATCCCTTTTAACGAGGTAAGTATCGTTCTCGTGTACCCGCGGAACTGTATTCATTTCATAACTAACTACGGTTTATTGCCGTGGAAATAAAAAAAGTGCGCCGCGGCGATTACGGGATTACATTAGCGACTTCGGAGGGCTCTCCTTTGCCCGCTCGTTTAAGGTTACTTTAATCGGTAAAAACTTTCAGGGCGAGGTCCCGAATGGTTCGTTGCCTTTCCTTATTTTCCGGCCGTTTCCGGCCGGCGGCTTTGCGTAAATTTCTTTCCACGGCAGCTGGTACGAGGCTTTCGTTACTGGAAGTCATTACGTAGGAAAAGACATACGGCAACGACGGGACTGACGGCAAAATTTTTCCTGCTTTCCTTATCTCCTTTTAGCGTCTAAGAATTGCTCTTAAAGGGACACTGAAGCAAATGACGAACTCGAGAAATGTCGATAGCGTAGAGATGATCCTCACTACAAGTGAGGAAGTGAGTGAAAAAGTGTCTAAGATATAGTAAATATTTGTTTTTTGAATACTAACAGAGCATATATATATATATATTTACTTGTACTAATGTAAAATATTTTTCAAATAAAAAGATATACATTTTCTTAAGTTCTTGGAAAACCTTAGTTTTTCATGAAAGAAAGTATTTATTCTATTTAAATAAAAAGATTTAGATTTAATTAAATACGCTGTTAAAGTATTCTCTCACCAAATAAATGTTTACTAATAGATATTTTTTTCTCAGTGTGATATGATCATCCTATCCTTTTCGTATTTCTTATACATATGAATCTTATATGAATGTGTGTTGTGCTTTTCACCATGCTAATAGAAAACATAACCACGCATATGTAGAAATCTTCCTGCAAACTTTTCATGTACTTTGGAGCTACTACGTTCAGTTGTAAAGATACAAAAATATTCTTTGAAATTGTCCTTAGCAAAGCAAACACGCATACATACATACGTAAGCTGCAGAACTCTTGTATCAAGTAAATATTTACATCAACTGACAGCTCGGGGTGTCAATTTTAGAGTTTTTTTTGTCGCTGTCGTTACATATCGCGCGATGCTCATTATTGCACATACTTTCAGTGTGTAAAAACATTATGTGCAACCAATACGTCACGTAAACTTTGCGGAGAAAAGTCAGTATTTCATCGGTAAAGTTTTTTCAAGTATGGCATTCCCTTAATACCACAACACCGATAATTTTGAGACAAAAACGATGATAGGAACGATGATTAAGTGATTCGTAGATCCGGAACGTTGTAGACGAATTAGCATTTTATTAACGAGATATTAACGTTGCTTTCGGATAACTCTTTACAACTCCGTCGACCTGTCGCGCCGGACGTATTCCGAGAACGATTGTCGTTCCCTCCGTCATATCTTTCGGCCCGATCCTGTGCGATTTATGCGCTGTCAAGAAACTAAATTAAACGTCTAAGAGCGAGATTATCTTTCTCCTGAGGAAGAATATTTCACTTCGCTTATCGTAGCTATATTTAAAGAAGATTAGTACAGTTCTGTATTGTTTTACGTCTATCACATTTCCTCATGGCGGTACACTGAGGAAAAAAGCAATTTTGAATCTACAAAATGGAGAGTCACCCGCCTTTAAAGATTATTGTATCTATTAAATAAGTCATGCGTTAGTGCGAGAATAAGTTGATCTAGTCACTGACTAAATCGTAGAATCTCATCACAGAAACTCCATAACGCGCAAAGCTTCAACATATATATTTATTGATGATCTTTATTTAACCTTGTCTGAAATGAATATCCTTGACAATGCTTTGAGTCAATCCTATAGTCAAGTGAAGCCTCATTGGTTCAATCATTGTTTTTTCCAGTATACAGTGTCCAAAATAGCAACGACGCAGTTTCGTTCAATTTGTTCACTGAGAAAAATTATCCGATAAAAAATTAATAGAAAAATTCATCGATATTTTGATCGGAAATATCCGTTTGTTAATTTTTTATCGGATAATTTCTTTCAGTATTCAATTAAGGGGATGCTAAAGTCGATGACGAATTCGAAAAATGTCGATAACGTAGAGACGATCGTCATTAACACTATCATATTATCTTTTTCATATTTCTTGTAGAACACAAGTGAACATGTAGAACTTACATAAATATATGTTACTTTGTTTTACTATATTCAGCGGAAATCCTAACCATACATGTGTAGAAATCTTTTCGCAAATTTGTCGGATATTCTTAAACTTCTAAGAGAAATGCAAAGATACAGCAATGTCCTTCAAAATGTTCTGTTTGGAGTGTCCACACTTTCGGTACAACTGCGGAACTTTTGGATTAGTCAAATATTACACTAACAGTTTGAGATTTTATATTTTTTTACATTTTCGTCACGTATTGAGCAATACTTCTATTTACTTTTGCACGTACTTTCATAGCATAAAAGCATTTGTAATTCTGTACAACCAGTACGACGTAAACTTTGCAGAGAAATGTCAGTATTCTGTCGGTAAAATTCTCAGCTTCAGCATCCCCTTAATGCGGGCAGCATCGGTATGTGTCGCGTGCGCACGTCTGTCGCACGCGTTTAATCCGTGCGACTTTGTGTTCCTCTGTTCCAGCTTATCTGTCACTACCGTGGCCGGCGGACGCACCACCTCCCAAAATCGAACTCTACGCCTGCCTGGTGCTGGCCGGCACCGGGGTCGTTTTACTTCCGGTGCTGCTTGGCGCGGCGTTCTTGAAGCTCGGCAATCTCGCGAACGACGGAATAAAACTGGGCCGACATTTGAGCGCCTGTTCGCGCGACCCTCCGTCTTCGCTTCTCGCTAACAACGCCGATAACAGTGAGTAGCGCAATTGTTTTCAATGATACATCGCACAAAAACATACATCATAAAGCTCGCAGCTACAGTCACTGCATGTACTTGAAACGTAGCATATTCATTAATGATCTTTATTTATCTTCGTCTCAAATGAATATCCTTAACAACGCTTTCAATCAATCCTATAATTGCTGATGCTCTGCTGAAAAGTTACGACCGATAGGTTTGTGGAGAAACCAATTAGAAATTACAAAAAAAGAATATAACTTTATTACATTACTACTACATAATATAACTTTATTATATTACATTACTACAGAATGATATTCAGTACTCGGTGATCAACAATGCAATAGTCTGAATTCCAATACTTATTATTCGCAATCTAATTAACTTTTTAATCCGAATGCCTATTGTGATTAAAACCTACAAATAAAACTTTATTGTCCTTGACCAACTATGTATTACGAGCTAACTTCCTAACAACCTCATATGCTTTTCTCTTGCTATAGCATCTTCTTAAACACGACACACACGAAGGATCTAATTTATTTACATTATTTTAGTTAGATCTAAGCTAGTTTTGTTAAGACGACTTTATCGATATTTGTTACACTGTGCACGGAAAAAAAGGTTTGGTTGAATTAACCAAATATCTGGTCGAATATGAACAATCCAGAAATTCCGATTAAAGTATCCCGAATTCTGTTTAAGTCAACCAAAAATCTTGTTAACTTAAACAGAATTCGGAGTACTTTAATCGGAATTTCTGGATCGTTCATATTTGACCAGATATTTGATTAATTCAACCAAACCTTTTTTTTCGTGTGTCGTTTATTTTTATGCGTGGTACCGTGTTATTTATTAGAATATTATATTGAATATATTAGAATAGAGAAAAACAAAAATAAATACGAGATATTCCGAAACGCTTCATTCAATAATATCAAGTTGGAACGCAAAAAAGATGGACTAATTAAACCTACACGACTTATCCGGAATTCTCAATGAATACTTTACGTTTCTCCTCGCGTATTCGCTCAAAAGCAGGGACTTTTCCTTTGCGTAGCAGCCTCCACAGAACAAATCCTATGAACTGTGATGTGTAATTAAGTTAAGAAATTTATTAGATTCGGGATAGTACCGCGAAGAGAGGGAGGGCGAAGCTGAGCGGTAAAAAGTTGGGCCAAGACCACCGTGTAGGATTAACGTCTGTTTTCGCGTTTCAAAAATGATAAATTGATCTTAATTATACGACGTGTAACACGGAAAAAGACGCTGAGCAGGACGATAACCACGATTTTTAGGTCTGGCGAATAATTTATGGAGACACGGCGGCCCTACGGCGGCCTTCGTGCACCTCTGCACGGCCATGTGCTTCCTCTTACCCTCTCTGCTCATGGAGGCGAGGCTAATACACGCTGGATTCCTGCCAAAAGGTAATATAAATGTCTCTCTGCACCGCGATTCGTTATGCGCTTCTTCAGGAGCGAGCTAAAAGTGCATGCCGAGGAGAAAAAAAGGAGCAAAATAAATTTTACGTCCAGTTCTCGTTATTTTCCGTACTGAACTATAGGCGATACCTCGACTGTAGCGCGATTCAAATTGCATCTCTTCCCGGGAGTAATTGGAAGAGGACATATTCTCTTGAGTGATCTTCGACTTATTTCTATTTTATATGCGGAAATGACAATTCCTTCCGCGCCTCTCTGGTATTTTTTTTAATGTCCCTTTTGTATTTTCTTTTTTACGTCTCTTTTGTATTTTCTGCGCGTCGTTGGTTACGAACATTGGCCCCTTTCCGATCTGAGAATCGGATGTGAAATTTAAGCGGTGACGCCGCGTTCGCCGCGTAAAATGCACATGCATGATCCCGGGCGACGGTGAATAAGATGTTTACGCCGGGTAAACATCACCGTCGAAGTCGGATGTGCATTCTACGCCTCGCGGTAGTAACACCATGAACGTACGGGAACCATCGCGCCTCTCGTCAAAAATGAGAACGCGCACTTTCGTTACGCACTCGCAAACATAGTTATCCGGCTTCTCTCAGACAATATTGAATAAGTAATAATCAAGCTTGAGAGGAAGGAAGGGAGGGAGGGGGAGGAAAAATGGTCGAAAAAGGGGGCGAGCACTTTGATGTTCCGCAATTTCACGTCCGCTGAGTTTTCATGGGGACGTTTTCATGGGTATACCGGCGCGGCGGAGATGACGCTTAGGAAAACAATGAAATCCACGTGAGAAACCGAGCATCTTTCCGCGATCACTTTTCCGGGGCTTTCCGTACACACCCCTGGCTTGCGCAAACAAGGAGGTAAGAGGGAACGGTGAGGGAGCGCCCTTTTCTTCTATTGTTTGTTAATGCAGCACGCAGTTTCGAAAGGTAGCGCTCCTCTGCCACATTGATCCGTAAACAACGCCTTAAACGAACTTAGCCGCAACTTGTGTATCTCGGAGATAGTAGAGACAAAGTATCTCAAGTCAATTTTCTCTTGTGAATACAATTATAAAATGTTCATATCTGTAATTTTCATATAAACAAGATGTCTGGAAATTATTGACACACCCGTTGTGTAGAATTTATCAAACTGAACACGAAGTTCCTCCATTTTGCAAACCACGTGAGATTTCGAGTCAATCATCAGTTGAAGAAGATTAATGAATCTATTGAACGAAAGTTAAATTGCACAGAAAAGTTCTCTATACTATTTTGCAAATAACCATAACAGATATTTTTAGTCATTAATTAGAGAAAATTCATACATTATCGCGCCCAGTCATGCACCGATCTTCTTGAATTAATAACTAAGAATCTACTAATCTAGTCATTTGCAAAATAGTAGAAGACTTTTCTGTTTAATTTAATTCAATGTACAAGCACACGACGACACACATCTTTATCAACTCAACCACCGTATCGTGCGTGATCATTCGCCAATCTTTTTTTATTAATAACTCAAAATTTTACGTGGCAATTCGTCAAGTGGTAGAGAAATTCTGTATTCAGTTTGAGCTCTCTATCTACAAACAATTTACATACAACCATCATATAACGGCTGTGTCAACAATTGTCAAGCACCCTGCATATATAACGTTTTTATGTATAGTGAAAATAACATTTTCTGAGCGTTAAATCCATTAATGAAACAAATGATTAGATCAGTTGCGATTATAAAACACTAATGATTGTCAAAAACTGTGGAGAGGATCGAAGTAAGAGAATACATGGAGGCTCGATTGCACTGTAAACGTTGAAAATTTCGAATATAAAACTGCATTTACCAGTCACTGCGCCTCTATCAAAGGGTTAGAATGGCAGTTCAGTGATTCTTTTTCATAATTTCAACGAATAAAATTTTCACGCGTTCATTAAACACGAACGTGACGAAAGTTTGTCGTGAGGAAATTTTTCACGACGCCATTTCTCCCTCCATTCAGTTAATAGAGAATTTATAGAGAATTTATTGCTCCTAATTGTGCTTTGATCAATTGGATTATCGCGCAAATTGAATTATCGTATTCGGAAGGTAACATTTGTATCGATGTTCTCGTATTATTCTGCGACCCCGATTGATTCAATATTTTTATATTTACACGTTTTGCCTCTCTCCTCGAAAAACGAGCAGCAATTTAAACCTCACCGAATAAATTCGTGTTTTTACATTTATAGAGGTCGCGTGACGTGTGATAATACATTTATAGAGTTGTACAAGGGAGAGAAAGAAAGATAGATAGATAGAAAGTGAGAGGGAGGAGATGGTTATCTAAATATCCAAGTATTTCCGGCTGTTTTATTTCCTCGAGTCGCAATTGATCTCGCGATTAATGAAATTTATCGCTCAAGCTTTTCTTATAATTTATCTTGAACATAAAATTCCCCCAAATAAAGCATTAACAGAATGAAGAGAAAAATCGCGGTAAAAAAACCCTTCACGACGGGCTTTAGTCGCTTTCATCCAATGAACACATTGAAATTTTGTTCGTTGAAATTATGAAAAATGCGCGATAATTCAAAGAGACCAAGTCTCGCGCGATAATTCAGAGGGACCAAGTCTCTCGATACGCGTAACATCGCAATCTCCCCATATTGTCCGGCGGCGGGCCGGCGAATACGTAATTCAGTCGGATGTAGCGTTAATCCCATAAATTTCAGCGAAAGTCCGGCCGGCAGGTAATAATCTCCATAATTAAAGCGTCGCCGTGAAGTCACGTTTCCGCCGAACAAATACAACGCTTGGTCACGGCGTAAGTTATTATTACCGAAACTGTGCTCGCCGCAGACGCGGCGTTTAAACGCGACCGGATACGTGACGCGCACCGCTTAAAAATTACGCCGCGCGCGCACGCTTCGAGTCTCCAACGTCCTGTTCCGCCTGCAGGACGATAATGGTTGGTGTGTCTCAACCGAAAAATATCATCAAGCGTCGTGCAAGAGGCAGAAGTTTCTACATGGTTTCGCCCATCTCGGCGAGAGCGAGCGACCGCAGCCGTGTCGACCTGAATAAATGCGTCACTACGTCGAAGCTAAAACTCGATAAGCCGCGATTTACGATGGGGCGCCTTGACGCATAAAATGAGAAATTTAACGGGCGCTTATGTGCTCTCGTTCCTGACGTGGCACACGCGGTGACACCGGCGTTCGTTTCGATGCCCGCGTCTGAGTTCGCCGCGGATATTGAAACCGCCAGGAGGAAAGCCGCGGTGCACGCTACTGCGGTACTCTGAGCTTTACGAGGAACAGCGCAGAGATCATCATCTTTTGTTCCTTTGTGACGTATCGCTCTTTTATCTCCAACTGGCGGTCGCAAAGGGGATATATCATCGAGAGTGATGCACAAATATGCGCGCGGGATCCTTTGCTACCGGAGCTTTTTACTAATTCATGAAACACCTTGAGAGATCTACATTGAGAAAAGATATTAGAAAATTAACAAATATTTATTAGGTGGGCACAATTAATATATTTACTTTAAATTA